CAATGATCAAGATTACAGGTACACCTTGCTGACGAATGCCAAGTAGCACGAAACCTAGGTCCAGGGTATTCTGTTGACTACCTCCAACCACCATCTTATCAACAAGGCCATCAGACAAACAAAAGTTAGGAAAGCGGGAGGACTAGACATCGTAGTAACTGAAGTACTGAAGTTATATAAAAAACAAATTCAAGGACGTTCCACTTTCTCTTAAGAAAACTCTGGGAGGAAGAACAAGTGCAGGTATAATGGAAAGTGGTATACCTTATCAGGATATTGTTTTAAGGAAATCTCAGTATGTATGAGAACTACAGAGAGGTCGCACCAGTGCCAGCGTCAGGTAACATTTTCAACTGAGTGTGGTGGAAATGAATGGGAGATTCAGTAGTCACCTGACTTTGAGATCAACAATTTGACTTACGTCATTACCAGCCACGTACAGTCTAAATCGTGACATTGCAGAACATTATTAAGCTATCGACTGAATGAAATTCATCGCTATAGATCTTTCATTATAGAAAAGCATGAGATGGAGTGAATTGGAAAACCAGTTGACAGCTTAGGAGGAAATAAGAAAAAATGACGGAAATGGACAGGATATATTTTGAGGACAATACTAAACTTCGTCAGAAGACAAGATCTAACTTGAATCCTCAAGGCAAAAAGAACAGAGATAGACCAAAGAACATAATGTGCCGAGAATCGGAGGCAGACATTAAGAGCACGAATAGCACGTTTCAACAAACGAAAAAGGGAACCCAGGACAAAATTGGTTGGAAATCTCTGGTCGGCAACCTATGGCCCGAAACGGTTAAAAGGCCTAAATGTAAATATATGGCTTTTCGGTTACAATACAAAGCGTTTCTCATTGTGACGTTTGAAGTTTCTTTAAAAATCAGGAATCTAATACTAAAATGAAATCCATTTCGTAATTTTAATGATCATACAATTCTAAATGATGGCTTTACGTAAGTAAAATATTTGGTAATAGTCTCACTCATCCATAGGTAAAAGCTGGACAGAACACCTAACGTGAAATACGTTAAAGGCTTGAACATAGTGTCGAATTAATTCATTCAATGTATTGAGCATCTTTAACAAAAACAGAGCTCAAACTTTTTAATCCATTCAGCTTCATCTCACCATGAAATGTTACAATGAGATGGAATCACTAGATTATAACAAAAGCAAACTGTTTAGATAACACTATTTACATTACATTTTGTTACAAGTTTTCAACTTTATACCTCAAGATCACTAGAACACGGTTAATAAACACACTGAGTTATCAAAGTTCATTCTATCGTGTACACATTTTGGTTTCTAATCATATAATGGAATTATTTTAAGCACTGAAACGAGATGTAACTTTTAAACAACAAAACCATTAAAAGTACAGACATTATGGTAACATTTCAGATAAATTCAGTCATATGACCCTAAGTGACTGTAATCATTTGCAAATTCTACTTAGAAATATATAAATAAAGTGCTATTTGAACAACTTTTTGATTAATTATTTGGCATAAATAAAACTTACAGATATACGCTTATCAACAATATGCGCTATATTTATTTGTTCGATTGCTTGTGGCATAGATAATATCACAGAAATAAAAAGCGATGTGATTAAACTCATCAAAGTAAACAGCTGATAACTTTTGAGAGCTTCTGGATCACCTGCTCCTTTATGCAAGAGTAAAATCCCCACTACTAGAATCATCACTGTAAACTTTATTTGATAAATTATCTGACTCAGCCGGAATGCTTGAAAACACCGACCAATCATAAAAAGTTTAATTTCTTTACTAAAAGAGAACATTTGAATAAATCTTTAGGAAATACATTCCTAACTTTGTAAACCAGTCATTTATGTCAAAATAAAGGTGAATATATTAAAGTATAATCTTAAATTATTTCTTTATCCAAACAAAAATGTTCATATTCATCGAATTAACTGGAAAATATAACATAATCTAAGTCTAAATGACAAATGAATTTTACTTTGGGTTTATGTGTGACGATTACAAACATAACATCAACATTATTAGTAAATTAAAGTGGAAAAATTGTTGAAACTTATATCATGACGTCTGAAGATAAGAAAAACACTGGTTCACAACAATATAAATAAACACAACATAGTTTACAAAAGTACTTCAGAACTAAATTATTTGCGATAAACATTAACCTTTGTCATTAGTGATCAAAAGCTTTTAAAGTAGTTCTTACCGACGAAAATAAGAGTTTGATTAAATTGACGGAATTTAAATAAGTATCATGTTTCATATTCTAATTGATATTTGCCTTGACATTGTCAAGCCTACTTCCTGTACACTGTAGTATGTTGTAAAGACAAATCAACGAAATTTCATAAGAAAAAAGTAGTAATCAAATGTTATGAAATGAAATATATTGTAAGCTTTCTCTTAAATTACACATAATATTTTTAGTACATTCGTGTTGCAAAATATTTCCATAATAATACATTAATTTTTAGTTAAAGTATGAACCAACCTCCTCAAACTATGAACTAATTTCGTAAATACATTTTCCCATACATGGAATTTTATAACACGTATACCTGCTATAATGTCTGAAAGAATGCGAATACGTTGATCAGTTACGTCAGCAGCTTTGAATCTAAAATTAAAATCAATGTTTATATCTCTTAATAATATCAGAAATTGAAATCAAATTGTACAAACGCTTCACCTGGAAAACATTTACGAACATATCTATAGAAATAATGAAAATTAATCATCCGTCGACTTAGAGCTATGATGGAATCACCTAGGAAACGACTTGAATCTTTTTATGCTTTATAATAAGTGAAGTCGTCACTCTAAATTTCGTTATTTCTCAGTTTACTGTCAGGTCCTTTGATCAGTTTTAGTTAAAACATTTCACAGGGCATGTTAATCAGTGTTCTTGGCCTTTTACTACCATCAATACAAACTTCACGAACAAAAGAAATGACATACACAACAAGTTACCTAATATACAACTACTCTAACCATCATATATCAAAAACTAAAGCCACTGAAACACATAAATGGCTGCTAAATATTCTAAGGCAAACAGCAAAACATCGAAATTTTGCTGGCATAAGCGTTTGCATTGATATTTTGTTCAACCAAACCACCGGAAGTAATTTTTCCTCAAAATTTGTTTGTGAAGTCTCTTTTATCTAGGGGTTATTTTCTTCACACAATGATATTAATGAGAAAGATACAGAAAACTAGTAAGTGACCGATGAATATCCCCTCTTAACTTAAGCCCCTTTCTCTATCCCCATCCACGATACTACATAGGATCGATTCCAAAGCCTTTACAACTTCAGGTGAGAGGAAAAAATTATTGAGCAATTAATGTCGATCTTAATTTTAAACTTGTATTGCCCACCATGAAACTAAAGTTTTGAGTATTTTTTATTCGTGTCTGTGAACTGTAGAGTAAACTAGGTACATTTTAACCTGTTTTCAGCCACGCTTTTGTGTTAGTCTACTTCTACATACAAAGAATAATGTTGAAATCACGTAGAGACTATATGAGCTGTTATCAAGATACAGATGGCTACTTTTAAAACTTATTGATAAAAACAAGTGAATTTATACCTTGACTTTCCATATGCCCGATTAAAAGCAAACTGAATAGGAATGAACATAAGGATAACTCCCACCGTAATTAAACTTGGGACAAGAGTTATTTGGCTCATTAAGCCAAGAGTTATGAGCGTCTCAACTGGTCCAATCCATAAATAGTGTACGAATAAAAATGTCTGAAAAAAATCATAGAAAATTTGAACCGTAATTTCATTTCATTGTAAAATCAAGATGTACTTAAATTAACCAATTTATGTAGCTATGCATAAGCATACTGTCTACATCCATTGTCACATGCTTCTTCCTGTTATGAAAAAAGTTAATGGTAAATTAATTTTATACAATTCTGTGAATGAATTCGAATAAAGATACCACCGCAGACTTTCTGCGAAGACAAATTTTTAGTTTGTTAATAACTGTTTCATATGGATTACAAGTTCGATACTGCCCCTTGATTTTACATTACAATTTATCATCAATTTAACAGTTTTAGTTATTAAACGCTAAAGCATCTTTGCTTTATAATTACGATGTTTATTTACTAATTATTTCTTATTTAATTTGTATTAGTTGTCGATACAGAATTGTTTACTAAGTTAAATGAAAACAAAGACATTTATTTTTCGTAGATTGAAATGCACTGAAATCCGTGACCTAATGAAGTCAGAGTATCCAATGACATAAATTTCACGGTACCAACAAATTGGTCAAAAGAAGAGTCAGTAAAATTGCATAACAAAAACATAACGAAAGCATGACAAAACCACTAAGTCGGTTTTTCAACAAAATAAAGGAATTTTTGTGCTGAAACAGTTTACTTGAAGTAAACGTTCAAAGACGTTACGTCATCGTCAGTGTGGAAAACTACCGTATTTTTTCTTAAGTGCTCTGGAATAATCCAACAACCAATGGAGTGCTAACATTGTTTGGGAATTTCTTGACTTATTTTATACCATAGGTACTTGAGAATTCTTTGAAACTAATTAGCTCCGGGTCATGAAAATACTCGGGTAGATGACAAAGACTGTATTGAGCATAGGTGTAAAGCAGAAATTTCAGTAAATTGAAAAATGGCTTCCTTAATATCCATAGATAAAGTAAATGGTTACAGCGAGCAGGAACAGATAACAGAAGAGAGTTCACGAAAACGTTCAATAAAACCCATAAAAATCATATTTTTATCCTCTTTAACATTTACATATATTTCATACTTGAATATGCCATGACAAATGTAGTAAGCTTAGAATCCATGAGGAACTGCAAGGACAAGTTAAATTTTATTAAAATCTTGGTGGCTCTTTTAAATCTAAAGAGCTGACCGGTTAAAGAAGACTCTTTGCATATATTATCACTGGAAGATGACGAACTTCCAACTTCTATCATATGTACATAAGACCAGTACAAATAACACCATTTATCAAACTACCTGTCGCTGTCACGTCATTTCCTATTTACTGCCATATTTCTAAACGCACTTAAAATGATTTTTAACAGTTGCAGTGGTTTACTAAGATAACATTAAATCAATTCAGTCTGACCAACTTAAATAACCCAGCAGTACAAGAACGTCACGTAAAAATGCAATAGAGTTTTAATACCTGTCCAGTATTTCAATCACAAGATGAAGCGCCAGACCAGCTACAATGCTACTAGTGTGGTGGACGACACATTTTTGGGTCTTTATTCTATGCTCAGCAAATATGATAGAAATCTGTCCACTAATACTATTTCGTTACACAATAAGTAAATGATGTTATAGCAATGAAAAATAGAATGCAGATATCCAAAACCATTCCTTGAAATTTATTCATTGTATTTTATATAATTTGTTATATAAGGATAAATAGTATATGGTTAAAAAGTACTGTTTGACAATCATGCTCATATAAAATGCTTTTAAGATATTATTTCCACGTAATTACATAATATGGTCTTAAGTTTGTGGGAGAGAAACTTTATTGTTTTGAACAGTCATGAACCATAAAATTAAGTAGTAAAGCTACGCATTACACCAAAACATATTTGACGAAATTCATAAAAAGTTATCCCGCCAATTGACAAGATGTACGACCCTGTTCTAGTTACACAGATTTTCTTTTCATCGGAAAACAATTTTTCCTAACTGTTCACCAAAACTCCTATTGCACGCAATTTAACTCAGGTCATATAGCATATTCTCTGTTAGTTGCATACTAACAACTAGGATCTATTTCTGAAATTCCGTGGAATTATTTTTCCTACATTATCATAATTGTAGATATATATTAAGACCTTTGAATAAGCACCCCTCTGACAATAACAAATAATTCATGTACTTTGTACATATTTATTCTTGAGTTTTACGAAGTTGTTTGTTTTGTACGCTTTGGAGTAATAACTGGGGTTCCGATATTTTCATATTTTTATTCGTCTGTCACTGTACTATACACAAATAAAACAAACTCTCTCTTCCAAAAATATGGCCCAACGTCACTTTTTCAAAACGCATTGAGTATATTCACGGTTAAAAAGTCTTACCTAAAAATGTACTGGGTGTTTATCTTCTTAAAAGTAACCATGACCCAAGCAGTCCTGCAGTACATCTGTAATAGTATACCGCTTGAAATTAAACTCTTAGTCTCGCACCGTGACTCCCTGACCGCGTTTCATTATACATTTCATCGGCTGGTTTTGCACAAATTATATCTTATCAAATGATATCTTGCACAAGGATGCGCACGTGTGATTCAATTTATAATATACAGACCAAGTTTTTGAAAGTAATCAATTTCCTGATAGTTTCTTATTGAAACAAACATTGAAAAACATAGAAAACATATCCATAGATTGGCAAAAAACTAAATTTTTTAGCCGAGATTTTAGTTTAATATGCTGTTTGTTAATAAAATATCAAACTGAATGAGAGTATTATTTACATACCTAAATAATCATAAGCAACACACAACGTACAAGACACTTGACCTAACGTTTTTTAAAAATATCAATGGCAGAATGGAAGTGTTTACACTCACGTTATCGAAACATTGAGCATCTACAGACAACAAATTGATTATCTGACCAGTTGTTGAACATCCCAGTGCTTTCTGATTAAGTCGAAGTACCTAAAAAATAAACTTCATGTAAAGAAAGAACCTTTTTGAAAATCAAACCACACGCTGCGATTCGCACACGTGTACCTAGACGATATGAAATCCAGTAGCTAATATTTACAACTATAATCGTCACAATGGTGTTCAAAATAAATGCGAGGCTAAAGACAATAGCTCTGATCATATTCTGACGGTCTTCGATATCATTAAACCCCAGCAAAACTTGCCGCAGAATTATTGATTTGGAAATATTACAAGCTAGCTAAAAAAAGGTTGATGCAAACTACTAAAAATACAAACTTTAAATATCATAAATAAACCTGAAATAAATAACTCTTTTTTAAATGCTTTGACCACCGACAACAACAGTTTCGGGTGTTTCTTTTTGTTCTCTAAATCCCACTCTCTGTTAAAAATATTTATTTTCCCTCGCCTTAAGTGAGTCCTACCTTGCTAACTTTTCAGTATTCCAATCTGCCTTTTCACTTTCAGGACACACATAAACATCGTCACTTGTTAATGGTTTTGGATGTGAGTGCGCGAACAAAGGGTTGAGCCAGGCAAAAAGCATTTTGGAGAAAATATTTGCTTTGTCATAAGGTGACCTTAGATCACCGGTCTTATCCATTTCTCGCGGACGTCAAACCTTGCGCTATTTGAAAGCGAAAATAAGTCAAGACAAGTTAATTCAGTCCAACGTTTATAACAAATGTCTAAAATACAATTGGCCTTAATTAATAAAGGTATTTGTTCATTATAAAAAAATTCCCCTCTCGTCCTTTTGCCTGAAATTTTATTGGAAAACAGTTTGAGTTGCATCGATCTCCATCAACAGACATTTCATGAGAAGCTGGATATTTACTGAAAAACAAACTGCAAGAATAACCTTACATCAGTCAATCCATTATCTGGAATGATGAATACTGGAAAACTTGTTTCATAAACAGCAAATGACTAGCAAATGTGCTTCGAATTGTACGTTTAAATTTAACAATTCATGTTAAATCAAACTACAGCGTCTCAAGATTGGCATATACTGATGAAGATTTTATTGAGTGTTCCGACAAGATGCCGCAAGTGGCTACCAAGCCTAATCGGCTGCTGAGTACACTTTTAAAGGTCTCTAAGTTGATTAGTCTGTCAGACCAAATATTTTTAAAACGTGTTGGAAAATAAACGCATACTGAAGTTTCATCTCCTCTTTGAAATGCTTGAGTGTAAGAGTTTTCACATTCAACGCGCGTTGGAGTTTATCTGTGACAATTTTTCGACGACCTCTTATTATTCCTTCAAGTGTATTGTGGTCATAAAACATGATAACCTTCATTTAAGAGGATGATATCTAGTAATAATTTGTGATCACCATAACCCTCCTTTCACATCCATTGTATATATATTTTGAGGTTCACAACCTTCAAAAAAAGGTACGTTGAACTCTATAGAATATAACCTCATCAATCGCATGGTCTTAGTTCTTTTTACTTCACAAGCAAATGAATTGACATCTTTTGGTATATTCATTCTGAATTCAGCGTTATGAAAAAGCTCTGGTCACAGAAACCTACCACAACCACTTATGAAGTCTTCTCCACGTCTATATAGTGGCAAGTAAATGTATGTCCAATAACTCATCACTCCCTGTTTTCAGCACGAAGGGATCATGCATTTCCTCATCAACAGTTATACTGAAGATGCCACAGGTATTCGGAGTTTGACAACGCTTTAACCAGTAACACCTAATACGAAGCGCACCCACCAAGTAAAATCAAAAGACAGAAGTGAGGAGATCGAAGATATATTTGATAAGCTATCAATATATCGAGGATCGTTTGCACTAATCTGGCTAGCGATTGCGGCAGATGTTGAGCACGGCGTTCCCACACATGATCTGGTGCGGATACATGACCAAGCGCCTTCAGCTAGATGAGTCCACTAAAACTGTGGTCAGCATTCAATGTCGAAAACTTACAGAGCTATTTGATTTTGGGGAATTATTTACCACTACAGATCACTCCCCCCTTGTGGGGTAGTGATGACCATAAGACGTGGCCAGCCAGAAGTTTAAACTAAACTACTTTTTCGTTGGTAAACACTCTTCTGATAGCTTTCTAGGTTTAGCAGCCTCTGGTTGTCTTTCCTTACTATAATGGACCATGATGTACAATATAGTAAAAAAAAGGTACAATGCAGATTTTCGTTTTTCGCAACTTCATCGTTCTTTTCATCGTCTTTTCCAGTCGTCCTGGAAAAGATAAGAAAAATATGTACGTGCATGTCGGAATACACTCGTACGCGCGTGAAAACACAAAACGGGCGAAGAAAAAGGAAAACAAACTCATGCTCACGTAATAGCGTAAAAAAGGATTTTTACAATATCTTTATGTTATTGTTTTTTCTTTTTTGAAATAAAAAAAATAATAAAAATATATAAGCATATTAAATTCGGGTTTCTTTTTAAAAAACATTATATATAGTACCACGGAAAATCGAGAGGATATAAAATGTTAACTTGTGTCTTACGTGCAGTAATCGTTCAAGTGTTCTGGAAATCTTACTCTTCTTCCAGAACTCGTTGTTTTGAGTTTATTTTCGGATACTGTCGAAGTATCAACGTGTGTGTCTGCTGTCGATTGAGGTATTATAAGGGCAGGAGTTGTGTCGTGCGATTGTATTGAAGGAAAATCGACGTGAATAGGATTTCCTTCTAAATACGCACTTTTGAGGCGATCGATACTGATTCTTTCGTTGGTTCCGTTCTAATCGATTATATAGTACTTAGATTCGCGTTGAAGAACTTTGAAAGGTCCTTCATATGTTGATTCGAGAGGTCGTCGATGCGGGTCTCGACGCACGAAAACGTGTGTGCTATATAGTAAGTTAGGTTGAACGAAAACATCAGTTGATTGTAGTCGAGTGGAAAAAAGTTTAACTGAACGCATTGCGTTTGTAAGCCTGTTCGCGTAGGAGGTTAGATCCATGTCCATCGAAGAGAATGAAGGATCCACGAACTCTCCTGGAAGTCGAAGGGTCGTACCATAAACGAGTTGAGATGCAGTGTATCCAATGTCAGCTTTTACTGCATTGCGTATGCCTAGTAAGACGAGTGGAAGAGCGTCAGTCCACTGAAAAATGATTGAGGCTGATAGTGACGCTTTTAGTTGTCGGTGAAAACGTTCTACTAACCCGTTTGCTTGTGGGTGGTTGGCCGTCGTTCGAAAGCGAGTGATTCCTATTTTCATGGTCAGACAACGGAACAGTTCAGATTCAAACTGACGTCCACGATCTGTAGTAATGGTTGTTGGGCAGCCGAAGTTTGCTACCCACCTCTCGACGAAGGCGCGGGCCACTGTTTCAGCAGTAATATCTTTGATGGGTACTGCTTCTGGCCATCGAGTAAAACGGTCTACGCATGTTAAAAGATAAGAATATCCATTCGAATCTGGTAAAGGTCCTACCAAATCCAAATGGACATGATCGAAGCGAGCATCGGGAGTTTTAAACGAGCCTAAGGGACATTCGTTATGCCTAATAAACCTAGATTTCTGGCAGCTTACACAGGAGCGTGCCCACTCCCTCACGTCTTTATTCATACCAGGCCAGCAAAACCGTTCTGCTATAAGCTTGATGGTTGCACGAACACCTGGATGAGAAAGTCTGTGCAACGTATCGAAGACGTTGCGTCGATATTGTTTCGGCACGATTGGGCGATCCCTACCTGTAGATGTGTCACAAAGTAAGGTTTCCTTACCTGTTCCCATCTGTTTAATGCGCAGTTTAAGTGTTGTTGGGGCCAACTCGTGCTGAAGATCATTGTCTTTTTTTTGAAGTTGGGCGAGTTTTAAAAGGTCGATTCCTTGGGAACTGTTCAAGGAATTTATACGAGACAAGGCGTCTGCAACTACATTGTTTGCTCCAGAAATGTGTCGAATATCTGAAGTAAACTGCGAAATGTATTCCAGCTGTCGAGACTCACGCGGTGAGTACTTGTCCGAAGAACAGCTTAAGGAGAAGGTAAGTGGTTTATGGTCGGTAAAAATGGTAAATTCACGGCCTTCGACATAGTGTTGAAAATGCCAGACAGCACAATACATAGCTAGGAGTTCCCTACCGAATGTGCTGTACCTCGATTGAGTGTCTAGCAACCGTCTAGAGAAAAATGCCAAAATTGCCAGGAGTGGTTAACACATCGTTGTAAGATTGCTCCGATTGCTGAGCCGGATGCGTCTACTGCGATACTAATTGACGCTTTAGGGTCCTGATGAGCAAGCATTGTTGCTCGGGCGATATGTTCCTCAACCGTGGAGAGTGCTTTTCGTGCATTGTCATCCAGATTGATGGATTTCGCATTTCCACGAAGTTGGTCGGTGATAGGTTTCATAAGTAACGCGCATTTCGGTATGAACCGTCCATAGAAACTTACTAGACCGTTAAACGTGCGCAATTGCTTGATGGTGGTCGGTTCTGGGTAATCCAGAATGGCCGCCACTTTTGTTCTAAGGGGTCGAATGCCATGCGCATCTATGGTGTGTCCTAAGAAGTCTAAGGATTCGGTTCCGATTTGGTATTTCTGAATGTTTACGGTAATGCCATGTTTTTGTAGTCGGTCGAAAACAAGGTCCAGATGCTGGAGATGTGATTCTCTGTCCGGACTTGCTATTAGACAGTCATCAACGTATGCATGCACGAAGTTGAGACCTCGAAAAACGTCATCTATGAACATTTGGAAAGTCTGTGCCGCGTTTCTCAGACCTAAAGGCATTCGCAAAAATTCATAGAGTCCGAAGGGCGTTATAATAGCGGTTTTTGGAATGTCTTCAGTGGCCATAGGAATTTGGTTATAAGCTTTTACCAAGTCGATTTTTGAAAAGACAGTTGCACCTTTCAAGGTAGCTGTCAAATCGTGAATGTGGTGCAACGGGTAACGATCGGGAATGGTTTTGCATTCAATCTCCGATAGTCACCAGTTGGACGCCAATCGTTGCTGTCCTTTTTAGGGACCATGTGCAACGGAGATGCTCATGGGCTATTTGATGGTCGTATGATTCCTAAGTTTATCAAATGGTCGAATTCGTTTTTCGCCAACCTTAACTTTTCGGGGGCCAGTCGGCGTGCTTTCGAGAAGACAGGTGGTCCCGTAGTCGTGATGTGATGTGTAACATTGCTGGTTACACACGGCAATTTCGGTTGCGATTGGTAAATGCCAGAATATTTATCGAGTAGTGGTTGGTAGAAGGGGTCTATAGTGTGCTTAATAGTGACTGGAGATAACCTGCAACCAGAAAAAGAAGTCAGGCAAACAGATAAATTAGTGTTTCCGTCTACTAACCTCCGTTTGCGCGTATCAATAATTAAGTTGTGGTGTTGTAGAAGGTCCATAGCAATGATTGGCATAGAAACATCTGCAACAACAAAGATCCAGTCAATGGGTTTGCGTAAACCCACGTTAATATAAACATACCTTTTGCCATACGTAGCGATAGGCTTTCTGTTTGCCGCCTGTAGATTTAAAACAGGCTCGTGTAGCCGGTCGTCGGAATTCGCTGGGAGAACGCTAACCTCTGCGCCAGTATCTACGAGGTAGCGAACTCTCGTTATCACATCAGTGACATACAAAAGACGGCTATGTTCGCCGGCTACGGTCGCCGTTAATGCGTGCCGGCTT